ACTATTCAGTGGCCCAATTTAGTAATTGTTGCTGGGTAGCCCTGTGGAAAGGGCTAGTGATGAGCTACTCTTGACTGGTCCAAACATTTTGATTTTTTTTGCCGCCTTCTCCTTGATTATCTCTTTTGCACTTTTTCAGTGTAATCATAGATATGTTTGTTCAAGAGTACCCCCCACGGACTTCAGCAGGACATTAGGTTTTAGCCTGTTTTTCTGGGTTTTTTTTAGTAATTCCCACAGCAACACTTTGAGGTAGGTTAGGCTGAGAGCTGGTGACTGGCCCAAGGTCACCCAGTGAGCTTCATGGCTGAGTGGGGATTTGAACCCTGGTCTCCCAGGTCCCGGTCCAACACTCTAACCACCACACCACACTGTCTCTCCCTGTTTCTCTGTTTTCAAAAACGAAACAAAATCCTCATATGCACACAGTGCCCGCCTACTTGAAAACACTATGACATGTCTTGAGGGTCACAAGTTCAAGTTTGATTACATTGGTAAAATGGTCTAATGCATGTGTAAAGTGGTTTCTCCTTTGCCATTGTGGTGACGGCGAGAGTAGGCGGTTCTGCTTTTCCTTGAATCCGTTGCTATAGAGCTCTTTGCTGGTTGGGCCCATAGTCTGTGCTGTTCTGACTGCTCTGAGTGTTCAGTCAGTTTTCCTTTCAGAAGGTTTACAAAGGGCTGAGAATGGAGCGCTTATGCGGAGAACAGTCGTAAGGAACTGTTCTCTGTGATTATTGATTTGTTCCCTAAGATGTGCATCCTGTTCTTCAGTGGGCAATTGGCATTCCCAGGACGAGGACATAGGAAGCTACCTTGCACTGAGCCCAGACAACTGGTTTGGCTAGCTCAGTATTGCCAACACGGACTGGCAATGGCTCTCCAGCATTTCAGAGACGAGTTTTTCCTTGCCCCACCTAGGGATGCTGGGGTTTGAACCAGGGCTTAATGCAAGCAAAGCATGTACTGTGCAGATGAGCTTCAGCCCTTATAAATAAAATTAGTGAGAAATGTTAACATTCAGCAATGAACCTTCAAGAATGCATAAGTGGTTTAACGACCTTGTTTGCACTTAATGCTGATCCAATAGTTTAACTACGGGACCGTCTCTCCTAGTATGTCCCACAGAGGAACTTATGGTCTTCAAACAAAAACATCTTGAAGGTCCCAGGCCACAGAGAGGTTAGGCTGGCCTCAACTAGAGCCAGGGCTTTTTTGGCTGTGGCTCTGATCTGGTGGAACGCTCTGTCACAAGAGACTAGGGCCCTGCGGGACTTGATATCTTTCCGCAGGGCCTGCAAGACAGAGCTGTTCCACCAGGCCTTTGGCCAGGGCACAGCCTGACTCCCTCCTTTGGCAATCCTCACAGAAATCTAGCCCAATGGTTGCCATTAATCTGACTGGAATTAATTTTAGAATGAAATGATTTTAGAATGTTTTATCAATTTACTGTTGTTAGCCGCTCTGAGCCCGGCTTCGGCTGCAGAGGGCGGGATATAAATAAAATTTATTATTATTATTATTATTATTATTATTATTAACTATGGTTTATTTGAACCTTGGTTTGTTTTCTGCAAAAAACAAAACCCATGATGTGAGGCCGTAGTTGGTTTGGATTATAAACCACAGCTTGTTTTAACTATGGTTTAGAGTTATATGTGACACAACAGTCTTGCTTAACCAGACACTTATCAAGCTACAAATGTGCAAGACAAGAGCAGCTGGAAAACAGATGAAGTTTTGGAGGAGAAACCTAGGACTTGTTTGCTCATCTGTGAAATGACTCATGGTTTGCTGAACAAACTATGACTTAGTGCTATGCGCCAATACAGCCAAATTGTTACTTGTGATTTTTCGACCCCTTTCTATGGCACCCAGGGCGTTTGTTCAAAAATAGCTTATTGGAGTTCATTGCACGTGCAACACATAGTTGTGGATGTGGTCACGGTATAGCCATTACACCTGAGGCTGGAATCTTATCTATTTCATATACTTAAGTGGGATTGCACTTGTCAGTATAGGCCAAGATGAAAGACCTTCCAGTTAAGCCTCAGATGCTTTAGGAAAGTAGCAGTCTAACTGAATAAGCAGAGGCTGGATTTGACGGTGCCATGCACTTGCCTTTAGGGCAATATGAATACATAGGAAGACTTTGAAACATTGGACTCAGCTAACTACTGCACTGTCTGCTACTTAAAAGCAGATTACACTTAATAAAACTCACATAACCAGGGAACTTGCATTATTTAGAATAGACTTAGCAGTGTTTCTAGTGATTTGGAATATTTAGGGCATTCAGATATTCATAACCCCAGTTGTCCCTGGGAATGCATTTGCATGGACAATAGAGCATGTGAGTTGAGTTTCCAGCTGCAGCTTCTCAGTGGCGATTTTTGTGGCAATGCATTTCCAGCTGTCACTGTAATGGGGGTGATTTTGGGGTAGTGGTGGATACATCCGCAAATGTCTTGCATCACACACACACACACACACACACACACACACACACACACACACGGCTTCTCTTGAGCACACTGTGTGGAAAAGATTGGCCCACAGAATATGTCAGGTTGCAATCCTATAAAATGCTTACATGAGCAAAATGAGAAACTCAATGGGCCTTTCTTCTGAGTAGCCACTGCACAATTTGTGAAGACATGATGTGTATATAGCTCTCCTGCCTCAAGGTGGAGAGCAGAATTTATTGTTATTCTGGTTCCTTTTCACCTGAGGATTGTGTTGGTTATCCCTATTTGGCACACAGCCCACTGGGAATTCCTTCTTCCCTAGCTAGCTCAATTCAAACTATAGGATGCTGTGCCAGCGTACAATTATGGATTTGTGGAGCTCCCTTTTATTTTTACAGGGCTTCCACAGGAGACATCAGTGATGGAAGTTGCCTGTTTCTTATGTTTACTTATTATCACCTACTGGCAATTGCAGGGCCCAATCTTATTAGATGCTCTTCAAACTGAGTTTCTGGTCCTGGATCCCTCTGACAATTCCCATTTAAATCTTCCACGTTATTGAAATGGGTTTTGTTCAGGCAGGAAGACTTTCAACAAACACAACAGTGGGGGGAACTGCAGCAGTCGCCAAGTACACAGCTTGCAAAATGTAGTGCACATCTTCTGAAATAATCCATAATCTAGAACGTTGATTTTGGTGGGTATGTTTAACTGATGTGGTACTATAGCCTAGTATCTCATTCTCTGACTGATGCTTTCCAGACATCATTGTATCACAGCTCCCATCATCCCTGACTGGTGTGGCTGGAAGCTGTAGTACAAAATGTTTGGAGGACACCAGGTTGGAAATGGGAAGTAGTGACCAAACTGACTGCTTAGTCATCACTCTGTGTTTCTCAACTGAATGAGCTACTTAGATCACTCAGTGATAATTTGTTTATGTTAATCAGATCTCCTAGACTGGGACAGATTTGTTTTCTGGTAATGCAGGTAGGATGATATATGGCAACTATGTCACTTAACAGCTACAGCTTCTGCCGGTTAGGTGAGCTGCTTCCTGTGACTCATTCTGCTCCACCTTGTTCAGGCACTCATACTGCGGAAACCCCCACAGCCCAACCCTAGTAAAAACCAGCCATATCACAACAGGGGTGTTTTACATCTACGGTACTTTGCATCTGGGCAAGCATGTCACTCAGGCTGCAGGAGGACAAAAGAATAAACAGACCAGGCCTAGTATTCATGTGCATCTTCAAGGTGTTGTTTCTTGTGACCAGTTCCTTCTGCTTCCCCTGTGCTTGTGGTATCTAGTAGCACAATCTTTCCTGCTCTTGGGTCCACTCAAATAATCATATTTAACAACAACTCTTTGTTGTTTCAATTCCTCATAAAGCCAGTTCTTTAGAATCTAAAGAATCCTTATGCTGCCAGATGCTTGTCCTGTGGCTGGGTGAGATAAAGATCTGGCCCACCAGGCCAAAAAGGTTTCCCATATCTACTTCATATATATTCCCATATATTGCCCCCTTTCCACTCATCCATTGACCGATTTGATAAACAGGGAGGAGGCAATTTGCATCCCCATCAGGGTTGGGCAGAGAGGTTTGCAGCAAAGCTAACAAAGAGTCTTGTGTGGCACCATAAAGACTTAACAAATTCGTTATGCATACATTTTTGTCAAACCCAGTTAATCAGAGACATAGGTGCCACGTCTTGCAGTGAGAAAGGGGGTTTGAGCCCATGAAACCTTGTGCCGTGATGTATATATATATTTACAAGATTCTGCTGTTTTATCTTTCCTCCTTTTGCCACTGGTTCCTAAAGTGGTGGGGTCTTGCGGGGGAGGCAAGGAAAAAAATGCTTTCGGAAGAGCATGTCAGGGGTTTGCCACCCCTGCCTGAGATACCCAAAAATATCAGGATGAGATCGGATCTGAAGAGCTTAGGGGAAGCCAGAAACTGATACCATTCAGCCAACCAAAATACTTAAGGACAAATAGCAGGCGGCCCCTAGTCTATCCAACAATAAGATTTACAGGCACATTGGCTTTCGACTCATGTACTAACCACGGAAGAATGAAGCAGACATTCCGTTGTGAGATAATGACATCCTCTTCATTTCAGATCTTAAGGAGAGTTTCCTGTGCTCAGACACAGGCTGTCCATGTAACTTGGGTGGGTGTGGTTCTTCATTGGCTGACAATAGCTTCCTGCCTCAGGCAATGCTGTCTGTGTACTCAGTGGTCAGGTTGGGCTTAGTTAACATTCTTTCTTGTGTTTGTCAACCACCTCCTTTCTGTTCTCTCCTGCACATTCCAGCTGGCCTTCTACTTAGCAGTAAATTATGTTGGCAGACATTTGGAAAACATCCTCTTGATATACCCAAACCACCTACTTCCCCTACAAATGGAAAGAAGAAGACATAAATACAAAATGCATAGCTATTAAGTGGAACAAGGGGAGCTGCCTTATATGGGGTTAGACTGTTGGACCATGTTGTCTAAATCCAGGGTTTCAGGGAGGGGATCTTTCCCAGCCCTACCTGGAGATTCTGGGCATTGAACCTGGATTTTCTGCATTTAAAGCAGATGTTCTACCACCGAGCTATGGGCCCTCCTGAGAGTTACCACAACTGAGTGGATCTTGGTGCCTTTGAACCCTTCCTGGTTTTATTATGCAAGAAATAAGCACTTACTGCAGGAAGTCTTCCCACTATCTATCTGCCACATCAGTTGCAGAAAAAGTGCACTTTTCCAGTACTGCTGCAGCAAAGTACATAATGGTCCTAGCCTGTTCCAGACCCAGTTAAAAATGCTAGTTTTGACCTTGAAAACCCTTAAAGACCTGGAAGATCTCCACCTTCTGGATATACCTGCCCAAACCTTAAGGGTTCTCTTCAGAGGTTCTGCTCCAGATGTCCCTTCCAAGTGAAATGAAGTGGGTGACTACCAGGGACAGAGACTTCTCAGTGGTGGCACCCCAGCTGTGGACTGCCTTCCTCAGGGAAGCTCACCTGGCACCTTCTTTATGGTCATTTGGCACCAGGTGAAGACATTTTTATTCTCCTTGACCTTTCAAATTTGCAATCTTAAAATCTTGAGTGTTGATCCACTGTTTTTATTGTGTTTATTTTTTACTTATTCCATCAACTGGTTTTCTCTCTCTTTCTGCCAAACTCTTTTATGTGGCAATTGCTATTAACACTGGAACAATGTTAAAAATACAGTCATAAAACAGCTTTGGTGACCTGTATTTAATTTTTATTTTATGTGGTGACTTGCACAGAGAATTAAGGTATTGGGCTTCATCCTATAAATATTGCAAATAAATTTAAAAATGCTGGGAAAATGCCATTTCCCTTCTCTTGTCTTCCATCCCTGTGTCTTTATTGAACAACAAGACAGTGATACAAACAGGAGGATCACAAGGGCACATATTGGGGGTGCCCATCACATCACTGGGTGATGGGGATAATGGAGCAATATCTAGGCCAAATTCTAGTTACTGCATGCTTTCCAATGCCTAGGCAGTTGCCAAAGTGTATTTAGAGTTTATGGCATGATTGTCCAAAAAGGTCTTTGGTAGAGCAGAAATGATTGCAATAATTGGCATTGACTCTTCCATTGACATTGATTACTCCGTAGAGCCAGTTCTAAGAAGCATGTTTGCTGGACTTAACCACTGTGTGAAATTAAAAGGGCAGCTGGATCCAGCTGACCAGAACTGCTGGTTCTAGAGACATTATTGAACAATTGATCCTAATATGATATCAATCCTGAAATATTTTTGGATAGCTTTGAAAGATTGCTTTAAAATTAACCCTAAGATTTCCATGTGCTATGAAATGCTCATAAAATTACATTGTTAGCCATACATATAGTGCTTTGCACTGCTTTAGTAGGTCAGGAAATCCAATTACATCATTCCAACATTAACACTTGTACAAATCTAAAACGTGGACAGGCATGTCAATATCTTTGAAAAATAATAAGGGGAGTGTGCTAGAGCTTTTGTTCTTAGAACATGTATGTAGGGCTGGAATGTGTAGAAAAATATTTGTTGAAGCAATTAGTGAAATAACAGTAGGACAGCAAAATAACCTCTTTGTCCTCTCCCTCATACACAGACTTCCACACCTTTCTAAGGATCTGATACTGCATAGTTGGAGGGTGTGTGTGTGTGTGTGGTGAGGGGACAACCTGCATTAGACGTTGGAATGTTTAACTGATGGTTGAATCCCAGTCACTAACAAGGTCTCTGCCATTATCACAGCCTGTCATCTCTCATTTAACTGTGCGTTTAGAAGTGCTAGGCATTGCCTCTTGGCTTCATGGCTGCTTCAGGCCTAAAGAACAAGGGAGGTGTTATTGGTGTTGAAAGGAGCTGCTCAAGCATGGTTAGTGAAAACATGAAATTATATCACTTACGGTTGACATTTCAGGGGTTTCAACTCTTTTATTTCCTTCAAAATATGTAATATTCAGAAGTTGTTTGAGGGGACATTGTTGCCATCGTATTATTTTGACTACCAGGACTTAACAGTGTGCAAAATTCTTTCTGAATGGACAGAGGGAAATATTTATTTATATTGTGTTTACATAAGGGATTTATACCCAATCCTTCAACAGCTTCCTTGGAGCAGCTTGCACAAAGTTGATTGTACGATCAAATGAACTTAAACAAAAACATTAAAGCAGAAATTTGAAAACACCACAATATCAAAGAGCAGTATAAAAGCAGCCAGCAGAAATAAAGACAGCGGAAGAGCAATGTATAGCCCAATGGCATTTTGAGGGCCACAGATTCCCCATCCCTGATCCAATAGCTGCATACAGCTCTCATCTAGGTTTGCTTTTTCATCAAAAATGCCATGAAATCTTGGCAGTGGCACTGTTGGAAGTGTCAAGAGTCCACTTGAATTTATTTCCTCACTATCTTGAAACGAAATAAAGCACAAGAGTTGGGTGGTGGGACCTCACTGTAAAGGGTTAAGCATTTGTGCTTATCTTCAGTGATGTAATGGATGATGAAACTGTTTTTCCGCAATAAACAATGGTTGAATGCTAAGCTATGACAAAGGCTACATGTCCCAAGCTCTTTAATCTTTCCTCGCATTTCATGTCCTTCCTATTGTTCAGCCCTTTGCTGTTGGAAAACTGTGCTGGGATGGAAGAACACTGTGATCTTACCCATCTGGCTGGGGAAGTTGATGCTATTTATGTGCCATGCAGTCTTTTGGCCTCCTGACTTGGTTTCCCATTTAAGGAAAGGGGAGGGAGGAAAGAACCAAGATACGGTTATTTTTCCCTTCTCCTCCTCCTTCTCCTCCTCTGCAAAAGCACTCAAGTCCCATCCTTCAGGTTTCTATTACTTGGTATGTGCGGAAAATAGCACCTCGGTGGTTTAAGGAGAGGATGTACCACTGTGGATTCCCACAGTTTATAAGATGAGGCAGGAAGATCTTGATGACTCATAAGCACTGGTCTCTCTTTGTTGTTTATTATCCTTAATGCCATGGTTTTCCTTCTTTTGAGCATGTTTGTGTACTTTAGACCATGTCTTCATTTTGTCAGGACAACGTTGTGTGTGGTTCCCACACATGGGAAATGTTGTTGACTGCGTCAAGGCTGTTCTCTATTCACTCGCAATGAAAATAAAATAAAATAAAGCTCTGGGTGGAAACGAGGGAGGTTTCTAACTACACCACATCCTGACACACTGACTGTGGGTCACTTTTCCATCACATGCATGACAGCATCTAAATTACCCTGCTCCTCCAGAGCTGGGCCCATGGCTGGTGTAACGGAGTCTGGCTTTGCTAACATGCTTTTTCGAAGGCTCTAAGTCTGTGGCCAGGTTTCTTTGGGGGAAGTAAAGACTGTTAAAGTGGTTTAAGAGTGGGTTTCAAGACCAGGATTCAGTTCTGCTGGAGGAAAGGCAGCCTGTGGAGAATTATTGTGAAGGTAAAAACACTGAGCAGGCAAAGAATTCAGAACCCCCTCTCATCCACTGCTTAACCTTCTCTCATGCCACCACTTTGTTGGTATTTAGGTGTGACCCAAATTCAGACATGGGTCTGCTCATATGCAGCTGTTCATGTGATTTACAACAACAGTTACCCTGTGTTTTAAACCTATGAACTGGCGAGAGATTTACTTGCTACGGGAGCATTATATCATATGACAGACTCCCCCTGTGCTTCCTAAATGGCACCTCTGACAATAAACACTCATCTGTTGCTCGCTTGATCTCCGCCCCCCCCCCCAGCCAGTTCTTCTCTTGAGGGGACACTGCATTTTCTCAACCCTCAAAAAGCCGCATTTCACAGGAAGGATCTGAAACCTGTGGGACCAGAGATTCTCAAAGGACTGGAGTCAATATTTGAACTATTTGAAAAGCAATTGTAATAAACAGATTACGCTAGTAGGACTGCAAGAAGTTTTGTAAGGAGGATTATGCGAAACATTGCAGAGAAGATTATGAAGAGAGTTATTAGTTAAGGACAATTAAAAGTAATAGAGAAATTAAGAAATGTAGATTAAGTGATAAATGTGGTTGATGGAAGTTCAAAACATTGTATAAGATAAGAAAGTATGTTATATGATTTTTGGAAATTATTTGTAAAAATCAATTAAAATATTAAAAAAACAAAACAAAACAAAAAGCAGCATTTCATCATGAGAAAATGCAGCTTCTGCACCCTTGCCTGCAGTTGGCCTGCCCTCCCTGCTTGTTATAGTGATTTTGGCCGGGTGAGTGTCAAGGTCACCTTGTCCTAGTGGAAAGTGTCCTATACATGGCTAGTGATGAGTAGCATAACTCCATCTCCACCCCTCACCCACATGCCTACATTATTCATTTGTGACCTTTTGCAAATGTTAACCCTCCCATATGTATTTGTGATCACAGCAAACCTGAAATAGATACTATATATATACAGTATACAGTTTTCTTATTGGCCAGTGCCCTTGCATAGTCTATATCGGGGTGGGAATCCTGTTGCCCTCCCTGTGTTGTCAGGTTTCTTCTAGACGGTTGCTATTTTGGAGGTTGGAATCCATTCATGCACTGGTAAATTCAGGCTGTGCAGTGAATGTGGATTTGGACTCTTACACAAGGAAGCCCTTCTCCAGCATGGAAGATGGAACGCACACCTCCCCTTTAAAACAAGGCATGTCAAAAGAAAACCAGTGGGAGTGCTATCCTCCTCCCCCATCTCAGAATGTAAAAGCTGTATCATAACACTAGGATAGCACTGGGGTATGTAATAAAAGGAGCCAAGTATCTTGACTCAGGGACAGAAGGACAGAAGTACGGCATTGTTTGCTTATTATATTTCAAAAACCACCCTTCTTCCCACAGGAACTCAGGGCAGTTTGCAGCAGGATCAAATGAAATACCACTAACAGTTAAAATGTTTAAAACAAGGTGCCAACATTTTTAGGTCAAATTAAACAACAACTATCTCCCCACAGCTTATGCATTTCAAAAACCTACCCTTACACTACTGCTTCAGACATATCTCACCCAATGGAAATTAATTAATTAATTTCCTAACATTTATACACTGCTTGATTGTAAAAACAAACAAACAAACAAAAAAACCCCAACCT